ATTCTGAATGTTTGACTTGCAGCAAAACAAGATATCAATGTGGAAATGTCCAGATATAAAAAGCCATAGCAATGAAGAGAACTTGTCAGCTGAACAGTTTGAACCGCAATTACTCTGCGAAACGCTACATTTAGGGGATGTCACTGATTTAAAGGTAAGACCAAATAAAAGTATTTCAGGTCATTGTGTACACCAGTGGACAGTGATGCAAAAGTATTGTAGAACACGTTGAAATAGCTGCATGCAATTTCATCAGATTTGACTCTTGGCAAGAATTAACATAATCTTAATTTAGCTAAAGTGTTGACTATCTATCTCCCTGTAAGAATATACTTTCTGTTAAACTAGCTGCATCTTGAATTAGTGAAATTAAAGATTAGCTAAATTAGCTAAAATAACATGCTAGTGAATAGTAACGGATTCCGTTTTTTTGTGTTCGTAGACATTGATTTGTTAGCAGAAATTGAAGTGTGTTGTAGGTGTTTTTTTGTTTTGGTTAATAATTATGCTCGGACCAATATTAGACAAAAAAAACAAAACAGTTTTCTACGTTATGTTCATTACATTGTTATTCTATGCTTCTTTTACAGTATATTGACAGTGAACGCCTAATAGCATCATCTTCAACGGGAACAGTAACAGTTTATAGATACCATGAAAGTGCAAAGGTATGTCATTTAGACATTGACTACATGGTCTGTGTATATGAATAAACAAAACAGATTTTTGTGTCAGTGATGTTTTAATTGATACAGAAAGGTTATAACCTAATGTTACTTGTTTGTAGAGCCGGTTTATAACGTCATGGATTAGTATTATCCTTGGACCACAGGTGATTATCTGGCAGCTTTACGAATAAGTGTTTGTAGGCCTTTTTTATCAAATGTCAGACCACACTCTCCAAATGTCAGATGGACATCAATCGTAATTTTTTTTTTTGAACTTTGCTTATGCTAACTAGGCATTATGTCTGAATACATCTGTGAACTCACGTTTGCTGTTAGATTGATGTTTTTTAGTAATCAGCAAAAATATAACCCTTAGTGATATCTTTTCAAAATGTACCTTCTGTCAACATTATTTTGAGTTACCCTATTTGCTGCATCAGTAGCGCATACGCTTACATACATGATATGTTTATGATCGAAATAAGTCGTGTATAATAATCCAGTATTCATTAAAATGCAACTTGGTTTACATGCACTTCTGCTGAAAACGTTTCTTAAAGCAAATACAAGATTATGATTGTACCATGCAAGCAAGTCTGAAATTCGTTGTGATAAAAATGTTACTGTCAATAGCGATTTGTCGGAACACGCTTTAAACCAATGCTATGTAACGTCGTTGTTATCACGTTTACCAAAACATATGCGCAGTGATGTTTAACACATATTGACTGAATATGTCCGTGGTCATGTTATACATTTCCATGTACACTGTAACCTCAATATAATGAACACCTTTATAATAAATTTTCTGATATAATGAACACATAACATGTTTCCCGCTTACAACAAACCCAATGTATTATGTGCTTCATTATAGTGAACATTTCACTATAACAAACTAATTGTATGTCCCCTAAAAAGTTCGTTATAACGAGGCTAGAGTGTATTTTTTTTCTTATATGTTATAATTTGTTATTTGTTTGTAGACACTATCAGTACATCATAATTGGGAAGCCGTGCATCGTCATCCGAGTAGAAAAACGTGCGCATGTACATGTATGACGTTGAATACGCCCGATATAGTCACAGTAGGTGAAGACGGCAGAATACAAGTACTTAGAATAGAACAAAGATATCCAATTAGAACAATAAGTGAGTATGACTACCTTATCAATGTTTTGTCGTACAATCGTATGCACTAGACACCAAAACATTACATTGAAGTGCTTCATCAATAAAGGGTGTTAAAATGAAAAATCTATAGGAATACTATTTCTCACTGTACGATAGCAATAGTTATTAAGGAACGTACATTCAACAAAGCATACAAATCCCAAATAAGTGTGAAGTTCTGTTTGATGTTTCTTTATCATAACATTCATTCTACAATTATAACACTTATCAATGCCTGAGAAGCCCACATACTGAGAGTTTAATTGTATATCGACTGTATTGTAAAGTATTTTCACTTGGAATTTAATCTATTTAACACCACAGGTCATTTTCGTATTCATGTCCATAAGGGAAAATGCGATACATTTATAAAACATTCCTTATCCTTAGTGTAAACAAATACACACATGATAGTCATCTCACTGAATGAGTTATAAATTGAATATCTGTGTAACAGTGCCCCCCTAGTGGCAGAGATGAGTGATTTCTTGTTATTGTTTTTATCATTAGCAATAGTCAGTTGATTGGTTTGTTGTTAATGTAAATATGGTGCTGAATGGTCAATTTCAGGCTTC